CTTATAAAAAATTTTAATTTGCTCTAATGGAGACGAAATAGGCCTTTTTTGAAAATCAATTTCGGTGGCATCTATAGATATAAACACAATAGCAGCAGACAATATATACTAATTGAAATAAATATTACCAAACAAGTATGTACTATATATGAAATATGATATATAGTATTAGGTTTACCTTGAAAATAAGTTAAAAGAAGTCCTAAGGTAAGTGCTAAAAGCTAAAGATATCACAAAATCTATATATAAATAGTAAATTATACTTAGATTAGATATGATGGTTTTGGATTATGACTAGAAAGTTTAAATAGATAACTCTCTAGTTGAGTTGCAGGTATAATAAATAGTGTAGAACCTTTAGACAGATCATTTAAATTAGATACTAAAAGTGCACATTTGGCTAGTTGTATTTTTATTATAATTGTAATAAATTTTGAATACTTAATAAAACAGTTTTTAGCCAAAGAGGTTACCTTAATACTATAGTAAAAAAAATTTTTATAAATTAAATATAAACTTATAATATTTCTTAATATATTTGTTTTTAATAATTAGTTTTTTTTTTTTTGGTGTTAAGATGATCTCTACGGCCGGGAACTTTTTATTAAACTTATTAACTTCAGGTTATATAGTTATAACAAGGGTATATCAAGCCACACGTGTACTTTTGGTACCTAATTTAAGTGGTCTGCCTGGGTTCTACACTAGCCACCGTACCTGCAACCTAACTAGAAGATTATCTATTTAAGCTCTCTGATTATTACTAATGAGAGTATGACTAGCCATACATGCAACTTTTGGTTGCCTATTTAAGTAGTCTGCCCTAGGTTCCACACTAACTGCTGTACCTGCATCCCAACTATGAGGATACCTATTTAAACCCTCTGGTCACACCTTATAAATAGATTATTGTACATATGTAATTTGACATTTTAATACATAAAGTGGGGTTAAATAAAAAAGTATCAAAATTTATTAAAGTGCATTATTATTATATTATGCAATGTACAGTACAGTATATTAAAAATTTCAGCTCACTATTAATAGTTAGCATATACAGTAATAATATTTATATATCAAACCAACTATTTATGTATATTAATTTCAGATACTAGTATCAAACTTAAAAATTTTTAACAATATTTTTATACTATATAAAAAGTGAAATTTATAACTTATTGCTTACTAGTACAATACAATATTTATTACTTCTCTTTTATTTATTCTGATCAAGTGATTATGTGTTCTATCTATTGCAATAATTTTTTCATTCTCTTTATTTTCATCTTCTAATACTATATTATATTCAGTCTCTTTTACATTATTTGATTCTTCCAATTCAGCTTCAATTTTTTTAACATTATCTTCATCTTCTAATACATTAGAAAGGCTACACTTTTTAAAAGACTTGATGATAATTTTCACTAAAATGTTGTTCTATGCTTTCATGATCTAATAACATATCAAGTTATGCCCTGGTTTTTTTATTCTACTCTTTTTAGTATATTTATATTTCCTAGTATCCATCTATATATTCTATTTTTCACAAAAATAGTCTTTAAAGAGTTTATTAATGCTTATATCTAAAAGTTGTACTATAGGTGTGAGTCTACTAGAAATAACTTGCAAGACTGTATTCTTTTTATAACACTTGTTTTTTACAGAAGTAGCAAGATGTCCTTCAAATGAATCAAAAACTAATAAAGATCTCCTTTATCCTCTAG